TGGTATTTTGGAACTTTTGAAAAATGGTTGTAGTTTTTAAAACAAAAATTCAAAGTGTGGTATTTTTTTAAAATTGCCATATTTTTAATACAATTGCAAATCCTTTACATTAATTTTGACAATATTTGTTCATTAAGGTAAAAGACGAATTTATATAAATATCATATCCAAAATACAAATTTGACAAAAAAAAATACACTTGCTCACGATACCGACCAGGCCGGCAAGGTGAATTTACATAAATTTCGTGGGAAGATCCTTGGGTACCCATAATACCGATAAGACGGGAAAACAGTCAATTTGGATCTGAATTTTTTTCGTTGTGCACTTTTATACATGAAGTGTTACATATGGCTTATTTCAACATCAACTCAAAAATAATTCAAATTTAATACCTGAACTACCATCTAATGTGCCGAAATATACCTTGACCAATATCCGATTGGTCAACGTTAACAGAATAATGACTAAAATGACGCGTGGATTAGGTGGCTCGGTTTCGTTGGTTCAAAATGACGTCGTTTCGTTGTTTTAGTAAAAAGATATCATTTTGACTTGGAGAAAACACAAAATCGAATCCCTGATTCGATAAACCGAATGCTTATTTGAGTGGGGGTCTATCAAATTAGGATTCAATTTTGTGTTTTTCCCAAGTCAAAATGACGTTTATTTACTAAAACAACGAAACGACATTGTTTTGAGCCAACGAAACCAAGTCACCTAACTCACATGTCGTCATAGTCATTATTCCGTTAACGTTGACTAATCAGATCTTGGTCAAGGTATATTTCGGCACATTGGATGTTAGTTCAGATATTAAATTTGAATTATTTTTGAGTTCATGTTGAAATAAGCCATATATAAAAGTTCAGGTCCAAAAGTGCACGACGGGAAAAGTCCAGGTCCAAATTGACTGTTTTCCCCGATAAGACCGAACGTTCCGGTAGTACAAAATTCTTTTTGAAATTTCTGAACTTGTTTTATGAGGTCCGATAATTTTATCAGACTAATAAAGATTTTCATTGAAAATGTTTCTTTGTTTACTACGTGAACAATGAATTTCTGTTAACCTATGAATATTTTCGTCAAATATACACGAAAATGTTAATTGATTTGAATGTAGGTTATATGAACAAACTAGGATAGCATCCGCTCGCTGTTCGCGGAGTAAAATGGTTATGATAAAAAAATTATCTTATAAATTTGACAATTTTTGTTAAAAATCAATTTATAGGTAATGCGGGAATTTAATTAGTTTAGACTTATTGATAAAAATCCAGTGTTTAAAAAAATAAAGACTTATTGGATAAACCACACAAAAATTTAACAAATAATGATGGTTTACTTGCAAATCACAATTTATAAATCTATATGTTATATGCTCTTCCCCATTATGGTATTTTACATGAGTATTCCACTATTTATTAACATTAACATTAAAAAAAAAAGATATGCAAAAATTCAGAAAGATATTACGTGTGAAATATTTCTTAGATTGTTAATATTTTATAAATAGTAAAATTCACATATGGAGAATTCAGTTAGTTGCGAATTGTATTGTATTGTGGCTTCTAAAAAAATGCATTTGATTCGTTAATATCTGAATTTTAATTTGTAAGTCTGTATCTTCAACTAGAAGATTTTCGGGTGCACCATTATAGTATATAATCAATTGTCAGTTTATTACAAAATAATGGTTTATATATAAATAATTATCAATAATTAATGCTTGCCATTTTTTATACAAAAATAGAAATTTTTTTGAAAATTGATAGTGTATCTCGGGATATATCACGCAAATTTGTTAGGAAATAATATTGTTGCCATTATTAAATCAAAGAACTAAGTACAAAAATTATTCATATAATCTTTTTAAAAATAAGGGAAAAAGCCATGAGATTATTTTTTTAATAATAATTTAGAATATACCATAGACACACTTAAACTTATTTACTGGTTAATTTGTGTGTTAAATGATTAATTTTGTTTTATCATCTGGGTGTATTAAATTTATAATAGGCAATTATAAAAATGTCACTTTTTATGTGCACATTTGCAAGAATGCCACTTAGGGGTGTCCATTTACAAAAATGCCACTAATTATAGATTTATAAAGCCTGTATCTTAAAATTATAAATCCTAAAAATGTTTTGACACCTAAAACTCCCTAAATACTCAAAACTAAACCTTAATAGAACATAATTAACCCAAACATAAATAATATAAAGAAAAATAATTTTGAAAAAGTGGCATTTTTGTAAAGATTTCAAAAGTGTGGCATTTTTGTAAAGTGGCACTTGAAAAGTGGCATTTTTTGAAATTTCTCAATTTATAATGCCTAAAATAGTTCCTAAATGATTTTTTTGTCCTTGATGATTAAAGTATATTAAATTAAGATATACTTTTTTATATATTTCATTTGATTTTGAATTAATTAAAACTTAAGATATAAATAAAAATTCATAAATGTAAACTAATGTAAATATAACCAAATAAAGGTAATTAGAACATTCAGTTAGGTCTCAAATTTTAAAATTAATGGTTATTTAATAAAAAATACTAAATTTAATACATTTATTATATTCATTAGTATTGGAGTTATAAATTTAAAGTTTTCAATGTCAAATATACATTTTTCATAGTTAAATTTTTTTATATGCAGAGATATAAACAAAATTTTTAAAAAAAAACAATATTGCAAACTTAAATGGCCCGACTAAATAATTAGGAATATTAGACAAAAAAGAAAAAAAAATATGGATATTAAATAACGTTGAATTTTGTTTTGGCAGTTAGATTTAAACTAATCAAGTTTCCTAATTTGATGGATTAGAGTTATTTGGAAATTGGAATAACAAAAATTAAAAAAAATTGAGAAAATGACACCTAAGCAATAGTATCAAAGAATGCTTCTCGTTTAATATACAAAGGATTATGATTATTGAAAGTGCTAGCTAACAAAATTTTGTTTTGTTTTTTATAGGAAAATTTTAAAGGTTCTTTCAAAAAGAAGGAAAAATTAATTCAATCACCCTAATATTTTTATACAATGCGAAGCGTATCTCATGATCATGAAAGAAAGTAAATTTAAATCAAAAGAGCAAGCGTGTTGCTCGAATTCGGGTGGGATCAGCGAACCGAGAAGAGAAAGACCTAGCAAGATTGTCGGGCTCATCGTGGTCGTGCCATCCTGGCCCTTGATCGAAATTCAAAGAGTAATCATAAGGCTCATAAGCCGCGACCTTTGAAGGAGAAGGCAAGAGCTTGAGTTTCCTCAACAGAACCTTCCACTTGGGCAAGAGTCTCTCCTCTGTACTTCTTCTTCTTCGTTGTTGCTTTTGCTCTCTGCAACTTTTGCTGTATCTTCCAAGTACAATTGTCTCTCTGTAAGATGATGAGAGGTTCCATCTCTTCTTGCTTGGAGATTCAAACATCATTTCTCTCTTCTTACTGTTTTTTTTTTGTTGGTTGAAATATTTTTCTTTTGTCTCTTAGCTGTGTTCTCCCTCTCGCTCTCTCTCTATATACACAGAGATATATATGATAATTGTCAGCAAATGGATGGGTATGGATGCGTAAAAAAGAGACTAATTAATTTTCAAAGTCAGCTTTGAAAGCCTTATTAGACTGCGTTAGCCAACTGTATGAATAATTAATTGGTAAAGTGACGCATTTTAAATGCCGGTATCTGACTGAACTACAAAATAATAGTCAACGTAGATCTTGTTTTCCTTTTACATCAGCTAGTATAAATGAAGAAGATAAGGATGTGATTTGTTTACGGAGTCTGTTTTAATATAGGGCAATTGCAAAATTGCAATTTTTGGTGTGTACATTTGTAAAAATGCTATTTAGGGGCGTCTATTTGCAAAAATAC